AGACTGACAATCAGGAGGACCAGGGAAGAGGAGGTCAAGAAGGGCAGCAACAGAGAAAGGGACGGGCACCCGTGGCCTCATTTACTTTTGTTTGTGACAACAGATGGAAAATAAAATATTCAGAAGCTGAGTGCATCATCTCTTTTGAGAAATTTCTAATCAGCTTAAAAGGGGACTCATAGCTGCGCTATCAGCTTGCCAGGCCCAGGGAAATCTGAACTGTTAGCTATAAAAATAAACTCCAGCCAAGAGGGGCCTCTCCTGGAGCCTTCTTCCTAGAGATCCATCCAGAACAGCTGGGACCCTTTAAAACTACCGTTCTAGGGGGGCACCTGGGTGGCTCAGTGGGTTAAGCCTCTGCCTTCAGCTGAGGTCATGATCTCAAGGTCCCGAGATCGAGCCCCGCATTGGGCTCTCTGCTCGGTGGGGAGACTGCTTCCCCCTCTCTCTCTGCCTACTCGTGATCTCTCTCTCTCTCAATCTCTCTGTCAAATAAATAAATAAAATCTTTAAAATAACAACAACAACAAAAACTACAGTCCTAGGAGCCGCTCCTGGCACCCAAACCCTCTGCTTTCCTGATAACCCCTCCACTGTCGCATCTAGGTTGCCCACACTTCCTAGAAAACCTGATGACAATTCTGGGCCAGCTGGCTTTGTATGGGGACCACATTCATACAATCACTGTCCATGTGACATGGTCTGATGCGGCCGGGCAGTAGGACAGCTGTTTGAAATGCCCAGTGTGGCTTTCTAAGCTGCTCACTAAGCCACTTCCATCTCTCCTCTTTCAGAAATGAAGGTTTTGGAGGCATGGGGCATCTGTCTTTCCATTCCAGTCAGCTCAAGGTGGCCAAATGTCCCCCCTCCTTCTCTCAGGCCATCTCCCAGTCCAAGACTCCATCTCCCAGTACCTGAGCCCCCTTTCTCTTGCCTGAGCCCTCACATCCCTTGGCATATGGGCTCCCCACCCCAACTCCTTTCTCAGCTGCTTTCATTGTCACCTTCCAGCTGCTTCCTAACTAGGGGCCTCACCGAAGGCAGAACCGCAGAAGAGAGGTGGGTGCAGCTCTAGGACCAGGCCTTTACGGGATGGGCCTACAGGGGAGGCCCAGGAATCATTTTTCAGTTGCTCAGTGACCTGTCCTTACATTATCTGTTGCTTAAACTGTCTCGTTGAGTCAATTTTCCCACTGCCTGGGCTTTGGGCCTTCCTCCCCTCTTTTGCACGTATGTCCCATAGCCGGAGGGTGACAGCCAACCTCTGACTCGCGGGCTCCGCTGCGGTGGCTCGGCAGTGCGGAGCACATGTGGGTGATGCCACTGACGCCCCAGCTTGCACAGAAGGAAAAGGCCATGTTCTCTGGAACTCAAGGAGCCAGAACTCAGTTTCGCAACACCGCCTCCACAAAGCCTGTGGTGATCGAGCAGGCAATGATTACCTAAATCCCATTTCTGCTGCTCATCTCTTCTGCCCTCCTCACCGAGCAGCCTGTCTCCAGGCTCGCACTTTCTGGCTCCTGGCTCGTGCTGATTTCTCGCCTTGGCCGGTTATTGCCTCCGTGGCGATGTGTCCGTCGATTTGCTGCGCTCTCTACTACTCTCCCCTCCCGGAGACACCCGTCAGGACCTCAGACTCTGCTGACACGGTCATGGGTCATGGGACGCGCACCCTAGAGGCTGCAGCTGACTTGACGTGGGCGTGCCCTTGCACTCAGCGGTGGCCTGGCGTCAGCTGGCTGGGGAGCAGTGGCATTCTCGGTCAGATGTGAGCTGGCACAGGACGAGGCTAGCAGTACGCAGACGGGTAATAACGCCCGGGAGACCGTGCAGACGTGGGATCAGCAACAGCCATTCCTGGCCAGGAGTCTTCTGATAGCTACGCGGAGAAAGCCGCTCTGCGGAACGAAGTGTGAAGATGGAACACTTTCATCAAGGGAAGTAGAAATGAAAAACCGTGAGGCCCCGGAGAAAGGAGGGGTGGAAAGAGTAAGAGCTTGCAACTTGCTCTGCTTCACGGAACTCCCTGGTCCACGATGTCCCCCTTTTCACGTGCGCTAATGTGAGTGCGCTTCTGTTCCATGAACCCAGGGATGTGTGACTCCGCAGGCCCAAAGAACCTAGACTTTTCTGAAATCAGACTAATACTAGCATTTAATGAATACTTACCGGGTGCTCTGTCTAAGGCACACGGTAGATATTCAATATGTCACATGTTTAAGTTTTACTCATGAAGACACTGAGGCACAGAATGATACAGTCACTTGTTCAATGTTATGCAGTGGGAGATAAAAAAGAAAGGGAGGGGCGCCTGGGTGGCTCAGTGGGTTAAAGCCTCTGCCTTCTGCTCAGGTCATGATCTCAGCGTCCTGGGATCGAGTTCCGCATCGGGCTCTCTGCTCAGTGGGGAGCCTGCTTCCTCCTTTCTCTCTGCCTGCCTCTCTGCCTACTTGTGATCTCCGTCTGTCAAATAAATAAATAAAAATCTTTATAAAAAAAAAAAAAGAATGGGAATTCCACCCAAGTCTCCCGGATTCCAAAGCTAGTAACTTCCCAGTATTTAGTGCATGCCCTTCCGCTACTTAAAGATGCAACTGTCGCTGAGGCACTGAGCAGGGAGACGGACTGGCAGGAAGGAGGCTGCAAGACGGACCCGGGCTACTTCCGCAAAACGAGAGGACCAGAGGAGGTCAGTGCTTCCCGGAGGGGAGCCTGTAAGACTCCTGGGGGTGCGGAATGATTTTCGTGCAGGGAACCCGCCTTAGCCAGCCCTGAATCACTGCCTAAAAACACCATTCCTGTTAGAGTTAGTCTTTAATTCTCCTGAGTAACACAAATAGAAAGTCTCAGATTGGCTATTGGCGTGGTTTACTTTCTATTACTTGGCGATTTTGCCTGAAAACTTCTTGAAAGTTGCTGATGAGTGAGAGTCAATCGTCAAAGTTCTCACCATACACAAAAAAATCCTAACTCTGTGAGGTGACAGATGTTTGAAGCAACTTCATTGCAAGAATCATTTTGCAACATAGACAGATATAAAATCACTATGATGTATATCTTAGCCTGCCCAATGTTATATGTCAATTATGTCTCAACAAAACCAGGAAAACACATAAATAATAGAACTTTTACATTTGTTTGCATTGTACCTATTTTTACCATTACCTTCTACTCAGAACAAGTGACATTGGTTTTTCATTATATAAATAATATTACATTTCTTTTTGAAATAAGTTTATTTGAATAAAGATATTGAGTTGTACCAATGATGGCTACTATGTGCCATGTACTTTGTATATGTTGTTTCTGATTTTCCCAACAATTCTAAGAATCATTCTCTCTATTTTATGGCTGAGGCAACTAGGGACCAAAGAGGAAGTGCCTAGTAAGGGACTGAAGCAGGATCTAAAACAAATTTGCCCGGTTCTGAGGTGCCTAGTCCCTCCACTGCCCCCACAATGTCTCCTCGCCGCTGGAATCCAACACCTGAACCCACATTCAGGAAATGGCTCCAAGTTGGCCACACCCGGGGACCTTGGCTCGGACTTCTGCCTCACGGCCTGTCTGCTGCACTGGACACGCTCCTCTCCCGGTTTGCCTTCGCCCACCTTCTCCTCTCCCCTTCCTGATCATGTCTTCTGCCTCAGTTTCTGGCCTCTCTCTCCCCATGTCTTAGCCTCGTCTCTCATTCTTGCTCCAGACCACGGGTCCCAATCAGATTCTCATTACAGCACTAGATCTGCTTCTGCGGGTCAAGTCAGACGGTCCCTGGCTACATTCTGTACGTGAGGAAGCACAGGCTCCCAGAAGTACTGGCATTTACCAGGGCAAATCGGGAGAGTAGCCGAGACATGAGGACGTGTGGACCCAGACACCTGGTCTCCGAGCAAGATGGAAGGAGACTTGGAGCCCCAGTGACGTGGGAATACATGTGCACACGTATGTGTATGTATGTGCGGGTGTTTTTACATAGGGGCCAAATATAGGGATGGGATTGGGGGTCAGAGAAAAAGAAAACCAAAGACAACTCTAATATAAGAAAAGAGGGGCTCTGGAGATACGGTAGTAGGCTGGGGCCAAGGTGAGAAAATGTCAGTACAGAACTCGTGGGGACAGTGTGGAGTCCGTGGGCTTTAGGAAGTTGGTAAATTATACCAAGTTGCAAGTGTACTTTTCCTGCCTCCCAACTCCCTTATGAGCATCTCCAGGCTTCAGCTAAGTTTCAGGTGACACAGAGGAAGTGCCCACACTGGGCTCGGCCAGCAAAAGGTTGCTGGGCTCTCTGCATAGTTCCTTCCTGAGGCCAGAGTGGCGGGCGCTGCTGGTCTGGGGTCCAGAGTGTCCAGAGCCAAGCCATCAGGAGTCTTTGGTAGAGAGCAAGGAGCCAAGCAACAATGAAGGGTACAGAGTAGATGGGAGCAGAGGTGGTCCTGAGATCCAAAGCCTTTCCTCCAGATATAATAGAAGTAGCAGCCTTGGGGAAGGAGGGGAGCCTGAACCCTCCTATTCACAGACAGTGGTGACCTGGGAGGTCTCCTGTGTCATCCTGTCACACACACACACACACACACACACACACTCACTCAGGTTATAAATAAGGACTTGGAAGATGAACTGCCCGGGAACCAAGCCACACCCACCCCCTTCTCCAAGGCCTGCCTGGAGAGGGCAGAGACCCCTCACATGAAATGAGCTCGTCCATGTGGTGCGGTGGAAGAGTTTTTAGAGTCAAAATCTTTCAAGATTGAACTGCCAAAACAATATTTAACCTCTTTTGATCTCAGTTTCCCTATCTGTAAATGGAAATAAAAATACTGACCTCACAGTGTTCCTATGAAAATCAACTGAGGTAATAATGGAAGGTGTGAGGGGACAACACTTGCGACCCTCAGGGCCTCAGTGATGTCACTTCACCCACTGCCCTGGCCCTGGCCTCCAAACCCCTGCCGCAGACGAGCTCCCGGTACCAGGGGAGAGGATCCTGGAAGGTCAGATCCTACCTTTGGTTAGGGAGTGAATCCCGAGCTTGACTTGGGAAAAGTTCCCACTTCCAATCTCCCCTCGGATTCGGTAGAAGCCAATCCGTTTCCCCAGCGTGATCTCCCTCAACACCTTCTCATCTTGGGACATGTCCTGCATCAGCTTCTCAAAGGGTGTCAGCTGGCGGGGCTGCCCGTCCTCCTCGTCCTTGCTGCACTCCGTCTGGCAGCCGCTTTCCGCGCTCTCCCGCCGATCCCACCTGGCATAGTGGGGGGTCACCAGGCCGCCTCCATGCGCGTACACTGCGGTCATCGTCCACCACAGGCTCGCATCTCCGTCTCGGCCGAGAGGCTCCGATGGAAGGCAGGTGAGGAGCGGCGCCAGGGCCAAGGGGGTGGGCGAGGGGAGTTGGGGCCGGTCAGAGCCCCGCGTCCTCGACGGCCGGCCTGCAGAGCACGCAGTCCCCTTCGAGGCTTCAGGGAGAGGAGGGCAGAGGCGGACAGGCCGGCAGAGCCTGCCCCGCCAAGCCGAGAGCTGCCCCCCTCACTGCGGACATCTCACCCCTTCCTTCACGGTGCACGGCCCAGAGCTCACTGTCCGGCGCGCACACATCCAGTCACCGTAACCGCTTTCCTGTCTGGGCTCCAGGAACCTTCCGGCGGCCCATGCGGTCGGATGCTCTGTGGTAGGTGCCCGCGCCTGAGACAAAGGCTCCAGTTTGCTATTTCCTTTGACGGCCCGAGAATCTTCCACTCTGGTGTGTAAGGGCCCCTCGGAGGCCCCCAAGTCCCTGCTGCTGGCCTTCAGCTCCGACCCCCTTCATTTTGCACTTCTCCTGCCGGAGAGTTGCAGGGCCCCGGGGACCCAATGATCTGGACCCCAGGAAAGAAGAAACTTGCAAATCAGCCTTCTGGTCACACGGGCTGCCAGAGAAGGATTAAGTCCCTGCCACGTCACTTTAGCTGGCCTTTATTTAGATGAGCCTCCCTCTAAGCCGCGAGCGGTCTCAAAAATTTGGCCGGTGCTGATTCATCCTGAAAACAGAGAATAAGAAAATTTACTTGCCTATGCTAATGTACTGTACAGGATTTATAGTGAACATGAAACTGCCTTATAAGCATTGATCTAAAAAAAAACAACAACACTACACAAATTTCAGTTATGACTCTCGGTAGTAAATGTTTGATTATGTACGATTTACTAAGAAGAAAATGTATACACACACACACACACACACACACTCCTCAAGCTACATTTTAGAAAAGCCTTCACAGCCTGTAAATATTTTTAGCAAAACTATTTTTCTGTTTCTTGACATTTAGGAAAATATGCATGTTGCCTTGAATTACTTTAAAGCCAGGCTTTTAAAATAATAATATAGCACTAATGATGATAAAAATTTCCTATTAATACCAGTTTTCAAAAATTCTTACACTGATTTAAAAAACAATGTGTGTATTATATTTCCTGTTACACTGTATGTTTTTGTATAGATTTTCCTAGATTGGTTGCTCCCACTCTCTTTACTTGCCATTTTATGACAAAGGCTGATTTTTCTCCCAGCCTTATTTTCTGGGGATTTCTGATCAGGTTTTAGCTTCCAGGCCCGAGAACTCATTCTGAAGGTACAGAAACAGAGGGTAGTGTTGCTGGAAGATAGAAGCTTATGGCATCCTCAGTGAAGAAATACTGTCCAGCAGGAACATCGTCATGACTCTCCTGTACCCTCCAGGAAGAAATAATCTCTTTCCACCACACTCTGTGCATTTTCCAAAATGTCTTATCTCCATGAAGTGGGCACAGGGTGTATCTTGCTTCCCTCCTCTCTCCCTCAGCATGTCCTACATAAAGAAAGTGTGTTGAATTTGATTTTTGGACTGGAACATGGAACTAAAAACCCAAGAAAACATGAGATTGCCATGGAAATGCAAATTTTGAATTCTGTTTGATGATATCACATTATTACAATTAAATACAGAGTTGCTTATATTATTATTGTGGTTTAATATGGGGTTGCCAAATAAAGATAAAGACAGGAAAGAGTAAACTGCCACCCAGCTCTGTTCCTTTTTTGGGACAGGGTTTGAGGAAGCTAGAAGAAGGGTAAGGAAGAAAGTTTTAAAAGGGACCAGGTATTAGCAACCACACACACATCTCTAGGTTAGAGTTTGATTAGGATGTCTTAAAAGATGTTCTCAAGATAAAAGATCCTTAATTAAGTTGAGGAAAATCTACTCATTGGTTCTTAAGATTTCCAGGGTCACATGCTCCTTTGAAATTCTCACAGAATCTATGACCCTATCTCTTAGAAGTTAAAAGCATGAGCATATAATTTGCATCCAATTTTAAGGGGTTAACAGACCCTCTGAAACCCATCCTCGGATTAAGAATCTCTAGGAAGATCAAGTGGCCCTAGATCTCCTCAGATCCCCGGCGGACAGTTTCCACACAGATGAGAAGCGCAGTGACATTCATCATAATTCTGACATTATAAGTCTGCGGCTTTACCTGTATAGAGAGAGCAAGGATTTTAGACAGGAACCAGTACTTTAACATCTCGTGCTCCAGTAGGCTCTATGAAGAACTTCTTGGGTCTGAGTCCTTCCTGGGCGTCTCTGAGAGCACCTCATGGCCATGCTGTCTCTGCCGCTTGCCTACCTGAGCCCCAGGTGATGAGCACCTGCGTGGCAAGGACCTGCGCCTTATTCTAGCTCCCAGAGCTCAGCACATTCCCTGCCACTTATCTGATAAATGTCCGACGAAGAAAGATGAATTAACTTACCAATTTATTGGTAATTTATTGACCGTTACGTTTGGGTATGATTTAGTAGAGGTAAATATTTTTAGTTATAAACGAATCACGCTGTCCCAACATTTACTTGAATATCTCAGAAATCTTATATCAGTCCATATTTCCGAGGCCAGAGGTCCCCTCTGCTGGCTGTTGGGATTCCTGGCCCCACCTTCTTCAGTAGGTGAAAGCTTAGTCAGAATTCCACCATCCCACAGCGAATTGTTAGGGGGCTGCTTAGAAATGCAATATCTCCCCCATTCTTGCTCCTTCCAAAGGATCAGCTCTCCCCAGTCACCCACGCCTCACTCATGCCTCCTGGAACCTGTTCTCTGACTCCCCACGCTTGGTCAGGTCTTCTCTGCTTTCCTGGAACCTGCCCCCCAACCCCAACCCCCTGCCCAGTGCTCCTGATTTGGGCACTGTTTCTTCAACTCTGTTCAGGCCTGGGATTTACAGTTGGGTTTTAGACTCGATACCCTCATTAACTTCAGGCGCCCCCAGGAATTCCTCTCCTCTCCTCCTAATTTGACATAGAGAGTCAAGCACAATTGTCAGGCATCAGGTTTTATCTTACATTACATACCCTCTACCTACAACTTAAATTTCTTGCATAATGGCCTTGAAACCAATTGTCTTGCCTTAATGGCTAGGGAGATAGTTAATCTTCTGTTTAGGTCAGATAAAGAAGTTTTTACAATTTTGAAAATGTTGTGGTGGGTTTGTATTGAAGATGAATGGAAACTTGTTGAAACAGGCAGCAAGCCAACTTGAAAAAAGTTGAACCCCTAACTCATCCTACTCCCAGATAAATTCCAAATAGGTCACTGCGTAAATGTAAAACAAATGAAACCTGAAAATACTAGAAAAAAATTTTTTTAAAAATGTTTAGAGATTTTATTTATTGGACAAATAGAGAGCCAGAGAGCATAAGCAGAGGGAATGGCAGAGGGAGGGGATAAGCAGGCTCCACACTGAGCAGGGACCCTGATGCAGACAGAACTCGATCCCAGGCTCCTGGGATCATGACCTGAGCTGAAGGCAGATGCTTAACTGACTGAGCCATTCAGGCGCCCCCTCCTCCAAAATTTTTTTATGATCTCAGAAAAGGCCAGAAAAGAAAACATTAAATTTGAGTACATACATTGATAACATTGTTTGCTGAAAGGTGTCATAAAGAAATAAAGCAAATTATTATTATTTTTTTAAGTAGGCTCCACACCCAGTGTGGAGCCCAATGTGGGACATGAACTCATGGCCCTGAGATCAAGACCTGGGCTGAAATCAAGAGTAGGACATTTAACTGACTAAGCCACCCAAGCACTGCAAATAAAACAGATTAAACGATAAACTGGAAAAGCTTGCCAACATATATGATGGACAAAGGTCTGATTTTTAGATAAATAATTTTTACAGATTGATTAGGAAAATACCAATATCTCCAAAAAGTTGGTAAAGAACATGAGCAGACATTTCACAGAAAATCCAAATGGGTCTGTAACGTAGACAAAGATGCTCAGCTTCACTTACAACCAAAGAAATGCTCATAAAACAACACGGAAATTCATGCTTAGCGAAATAAGTCAATCAGAGAAAGACAACTATCATATGATCTCCCTGATATGAGGGAGAGGAGATGCAACATGAGGGGTTAAGGGGATAGGAGAAGACTAAATGAAGCAAGATGGGATTGGGAGGGAGATAAACCATAAGTGACTCTCAATCTCACAAAACAAACTGAGGGTTGCTGGGGGGAGGGGGGTAGAGAGAGGGGGGTGTGGGGTTATGGACATTGGGGAGGGTATGTGCTATGGTGAGTGCTGTGAAGTGTGTAAACCTGGCGATTCACAGACCTGTACCCCTGGGGATAAAAATATATGTTTATAAAAAATAAAATTAAAACAACAACAACAACAACACAGAAATTAGATTTTTTAAAAACCAATAAATTTGGAAACTATGAAAACATTTTTTAAAAGGTTTTATTTATTTATCTGACAAAGAGAGAGAGCGAGAGCACAAGCAGGGGGAGGGGCAGAGGGAGAGGGAAGAGCAGGCTCTCCCTGAGCGGGGAGCCCAACTCATAGCTCAATCCCACGATCCCAGGATTGTGACCTGAACCGAGGGCAGACACTTAATCAACTGAGCCCCAGGGTATCCCTACAGAAACATTTTTGGCGAAAGAAGGTTTGGGAAACAGGGATCCTCATTCATTGCTACTGAGAGTATAAACGGGTACAAGTGCTTGGAAGGCAGCCTGGCATTAACTAGGGAAGCGTGAGCGCACGTGCCTTTGCCTCAATGATTCTACTTCTAGAGTTAACTTATGCACGCTGCACAAAAATATACCTATTTCTAGTATAAGGATTGCTAGACTGAGATTCATGACTGCATTGTTTTTGCAGCAAAAACTAGACACTGTTTTTGTGGCCATCAGTAGGGAACTGGTTAAATAAATGACAGTCCGGATTACTATGCACTTACGGAAAAGAATGAGTTACAATATCCAACAGGAATTGTTAAGAGATCAGAAGAGTGTATATAAATGTGATGTCAGGAGCGTAAGAGAGAGGAGGACACCCCTAAGGACCTGGCAATAATTATTGCGCCTGGGGAAAAGGATTGGACTGGGGGGCCGAAGTGAGAGAAAGGTGTACTTTTCACTATTTACTCTTTTTTTTTTTTTAAAGATTTTATTTATTTATTTAACAGACAGAGATCACAAGTAGGCAGAGAGGCAGGCAGAGAGAGACGGGGGAAGCAGGCTCCCTGCCAAGCAGAGAGCCTGATGCAGGGCTCGATCCCAAGAGCCTGGGATCATGATCTGAGCTGAAGGCAGAGGCTTAACCCACTGAGCTACCCAGGCGCCCCTACTCTTTTATCTTATTTACATTTTCCCCATATGCATGTACTTAGACTTAAAAAGGAAAACAATTAAAAATATGTAATGTGTTACCATCATACCCAATAAGTTTGCTTTATTTTGGTTATGCAGAGAAATTACAAACCTAATTCTCTAATATCCAATGGATTATTTTTGAAGTCAAAACACAATTAGGAATTCTGATTAAATACGGAATATTTTGTACTTCCATTTATTTCTACTTCCGTCCAAAAACCCACAATAGGAATAGGAGGAAAAGGGGCATAAACTCACAAGGACAAAGAAAATAAGAGACAGGAGAGCAGCCAACGTGAGATGTCCACATGGTTCTATGGGGTCCAAAAGCAAACTGAGGAGCAGTGAGTGACTTGGCAAAGACAGTCACAAAAAGTGCAACATCTACCTCAT